GGAAAGAGCTGGGAAGGAGGAGGCGGTCGTGGAGCCCGAGAAGGCTGGGTTACGTGACGCCTGGTGCTGTCCTTCCGAAAGAGAAGGGCGGAGCTGAGCTCTCCGCAGTACCATGGAGAGCGGCGGGCCGTCCTCAGACTGGGATACTGGTGGGCGCAGCCCCTCCCCGTCGGGATGCTGCGCAGCGAGGTGTGTTTCTGCCTTTGCTCCGTCCCCTTGCTGTGGGAGCCCGATCCTGGGGGCGGGGACCTAACGCAAGTGCTTCTAACTTGTCACCACCCACCCTCCCCCACGGGGGGGTGTGGGGGGGGAGAGAGAGAGAGAGAGAGAGGAACCAGACAACCACGTAGCCTACTGAGCATGCCCAGGCCCCTGCTAGACCCACGGAAAGCTGTGTGGAGATTCCACTTCTCCGGGGTTTAGTCGTGATTGGGAGAGGGTATCTGAGAGTGTTCCAGGGCCAAGAGGAAGGGGCCAAGGAGTCGGTGATTAAGATGAGCTCTGGCTTTACTTGCGCACTTAGATCTCCGGCTTGGAACCCTTGAAAAGCTACAGCTCTTCGCGGAATGCAGGGACAGGCAAGATTCACACAGTCGCTGGCATTCCCCCAGATCCACCGTCCCTGCCCCACCCCTTACTGTGGCCCTGAGCTGAGTGATCACTTCAGATTTTCACGATATGCCTAAGCCGTGCCGAAAAGATGTGAAAGGGACCCATCTGTGCTCTTCCCTGGCCATGGGCATCCTGAGCTGAACCCACTTCTGTAGCTGTTTAGCTCTTCCCTCTGTCTCCTTCTTTTTGGTAAAGGCTGGAGGAAGTGAAACTTGATGCAAGGCTCTAACCATATCACTGGGCATGCCTAGTAGGCATTGCTGAGTTTGATGACAAAGGAGTTAAATCTAAGGGAGCTTGCAGAATAGGTGGTAGAGAGGTCTGAAGTGTGTGGCTAAATTATAGTTTGAGTCCTATGGACATTTAAATTCCTAACCCTATTACATTCCTAGCCTGGGTTAGTTTTAGAGCAGAAAAAGCAGACATATCTATCTCAACATCACAAAACTAATAGCTTCAGCCTCAAATGCTATAAGGTAAGACTATCATCTGCCTCTAGGCCCTATAAAGCAAAATTGTAAAAACTAGAAAAATTCAGGAGAACTGAAATAATAATATACATTCCAAATGCAATATTCATTTCCTGCCAAAGAAACCAGAACTCATTCCTTTTGATAAACCTATTTATACTTTCACTACTTTTGTAAAAGAGTCTAAATAACTTGGAGACAGGAACAAGTTTTATTATTTTTATTGGCTTCAGAAAGACACTGTGGTCAAGTAATTAAACGTGTGGGAACTAGAATCAGGTTGTCTGGGCTTGAATTTCATCTCTGCCATTTATCAGCTATGACCTTGGGTAAGAAGCTTAACCTTACAATGCCTCAGTCACCTCATCTGTTAAATTGGATATATTAGTAGCTCCCAATTCATCTGTTTGTTGTTGTGGAGATTAAATTAATAAATGTACATAAAATATTTTAGAATTGAGTGAATACTAGCTTTTTTCTATTAATTCCAAGCCCATTCTGTTCTGTTTGACCCCATGGAAGTCACTTCTCTGAAATCCAGATTCCCTGCCTGTGAAGTAGGGGTACTGGTTGAGTGCCAACTTATTCTACAGGATTACTTTGGGGATGTAATGAAATAATAACCATTAACATGTTTTAAAAAACAAAAATGAAATTTTAAATAGTGTAAAGCTAAGTCTCAGAAAAATACGTTATCTAAGGTTAACCAGTCATTACGTGAATTTGGATCACAAGAATACTCTACTTAATTCAGGGCCTTTAAAAAAAATTTTCCTACCATTTGCCAACAGGTTCTAGAGCAAATAGCATATAAGGTATGCCCACACGTGTCTATTATAGAGGTAAAGCTTACTGAAAAGTAAGTAGAAGGGACAGTGAATTTTTAAGAATTGAATCTAGAAATGTTCCATGATGCCCTTAATATCTGTGTGTACATTCATCAGTGAATCTTATGGTGATAGCAGAAGATTTCTAGAGGCTCTCTTAAGAGTCAAACCCTGTCTTTTTTTTTTTTTTTTTTTTTTTTTTTTTTTTTTTTTTTTTGGGTTACTCGGGCCTCCCACTGTTGTGGCCTCTCCCGTTGCAGAGCACAGGCTCCGGACGCGCAGGCTCAGCGGCCATGGCTCACGGGCCCAGCCGCTCCACGGCATGTGGGATCTTCCCGGACCGGGATATGAACCCACGTCCCCTGCATCGGCAGGCGGACTCTCAACCACTGCGCCACCAGGGAAGCCCTCAAACCCTGTCTTTTACCTGGGCTCTTAAAACCCATTGATTGCCACCAGTGTATATGACCTGATTAATTATTTAGTTTCTTTAATTTTACGTTTGTGAATTTGGATCTTATCTTCAGTTGGGCCACAACGTTTCCACTGGATCATGGTTTTCCTTGGGGTGTCTTCTGTGGTTTTCTAATTCAAAGACATGTTACAATTCTTATTCTTCATGCATAAGTTTTAAAACAAAAAGTCCTCCGTGCCCACCCCTTACTCACACACACACACACACACACACACACACACACACACACACAATCTAAACTGAGGGACTAGATTATATGTTGCAGTAATCCCCTTTGCAGTTATCAGGTTTAAAGTAACTACTGTATCTAGTCTAAGAAACATGGACAGATATAGATCTCTTTATTTCAGTAAATATGCAGAGAGAAAACTATCAATATGTGTTTAGAATGGAAAAAATATCACAACATAATTTAGTGATAAAAGCTCTTTATTTTAAAGTATGACTCGCTGTGCTGTTTCTAAACATAAATTGTTTCAACTCTCTGAGCACTAGTCTCCTCATCAGTAAAATGAGGATAAGGGCACCTCACTTTATAAGATCTGGTGAGGATAATGCCAATATCTAATTTTGAGTGTCTGCTCCATGTGAAACAGTGCTCCAGTGCTTTACTTACATTAACTTAGTTTATCCCTCACAGGAACCCTATAAAATAGAGTCTAGGATTTCACTCATTTTACCAATGAGAAAAGTGAAGCACAGAGAGGTTAACCAAGACAGTCAAGGTCACACCTAGCAATATAAGAGCAAGGAAGGATTCAGACTCAAGACTGTGATCTTAAACACCTTGCTACACTGCCTCTCATCAAATGATCAACTATGCCTAGCACACTTCTTGGCACAATGCAGATGCTAATAAATGTTAATTCCCCTTTTAAGAGTTTCATCAAGAGGAATTCAGGAAACAGTCAACTTTGGAATGTGG